GAAGTGAGCACTGTCTTCTCTATGGTGTAACAACCAAGTGAAGACCAAAATTGAACAGTCTGATTATTTAGCTCTAACAGATCTCAGAAAATTTGATTTTTCTGGGTCAGGAAGTTTAGGAGCTTAGCTAAAGGTATCAACACTTTGTGAATACTCTGTCATTTTTCTTCTGTGTTCTTTCTGGAGCCACTTTTTGGGTCTGGGTGCTTTTTTTTGCTATAAGGTTGTAAAACTTTGCTTTTTTGGCCCTTCATTATCCTCTTCTGCAAATTGCTTTCAAATTGAGGATACTCTTCTATTTCTCTTTTCAATCTTCCATAGGGGATACTGTTCTCAAAGCAGAGAGAGGCAGCACTCTTTCCTGGAGTAGAACAGCCTGTTAATAGTAACATCCCCCTGCAGTGAGGACCATCTAATTTAGCTTCCTCACCCCCAGTTCATGTTGTAGCACTTGACCTGCTGTTTGTTCTCCCCAACTGGCAGAAAACACCACAATTCATTTAACAAGCAGCCATGGGACACATCTCAATATTTAAGCACATTTCCCATTCATATCTTTATCCAGACAGGGCAAATATTACAGTGGCAAGAGTTTGCTATTCTGAAGAATAGCCCTGCACCATGTTCCAGGAGTTTATGTCCCCTAGTAAAGCTATAGGAATGGCATAAATTTGTTTTCTTCCTAAATAAGGCTGTAAATGGCACTTGCGTGACACTCTGAACCCTTGCCAACGTAGCAAACAATATAACTACTGTTATAAATAAAATCTGTGGTCAACCTATTTTCATATTTGCCCTGTAAAAGGGCTCTTATCAGAAGGAATAAGAATTGCTAAATTGCACAACTGAACAAGCTTCCCAAATGAAAATGTTCTCCCTATCATCAGTTTAAAGTTGTCTTCTGACATGAACCACAGATTGTATGTGTGTATTTACCTCTAATTTATATATCTCTATATGTATATGTGTATATATTGGACATCTGTGAGAACTATGAGAACACCCACATTTTTATATCCATTAAACTAATGAATAAGCATTTATTTCATAACATGTATATGCAAACTAAATAGGAAAGATCTATAAATGAACTCTGTGGATGTTCTCATCAATATATATGTGTAATCCTTTTTTCTGAACTGGAGAAGCTCATGGTCTCAATAACGTCTCATGACAAAGAATCCCACGGGCTAATTATGTGCTGTGTACAAATGTATTTCCTTTTTATTGGTTTTAAATGTGATGCTTTTAATTTTATTGAATGTCCCTTGTTATGTAATAGAAAGAAAAGTAGAAATTCCCCACTTGTTTTCCCTTAGAGTACATAGTTTTGTAATGTCTCCTAGCTGAGCTAAACAACTTTTTTTTTTTTTAATTATACATCTTGCAGTCATTACAGTTACTTCCTTTGCCTGGCTCTGAACTCTACTTACAGTTTTATTGACGTGTTTTTAGCTATCCTGTTCTTCATAACACTGAGCAGACCATCTCAGTTGTTCTCTTTTAAACTAATTGATCCCAAAGATAGCAAATAACTTGTGCTCATGATTCCTTTCCACTTCAACCTGCAAAGATTTGAAAATGCCCTATTGTCATAGTTTGAAAGCCCTGGTGTCAATAAGTTGCCCCAATTACTGTTTTGAAAAAAAATTCAGAAAAAAAAATTAATTGTACATGTGTCCCTAATACCTGCAGAGGAGAAATTTCTTAATACAAACCCTGATAAACATCTTGGCAAAAGCAGATTTGTCTACTGTGTTTTGATAGATACATGTTTAGTGGAGGGGAGCAGGGAGAGACTGACATCTCAGATGGAAGAATAATGTTTATGCTTAAAATGACAGACAAGGATTTAGCATATAAAAAATTACCTTCAGAATTGATTCACAGTTCATTCCCTTTCTATTTCCAAGCTTCAGTACGGAAGAAGAAGGGTAAGGGGAAGCATTTTGTCTCTTGTTTAACCTGTTTCTCACCTTTCCATAGTGAAGGATAATAACATAATGTAAATGTTGGCATATGGTCCAGTTTATTTTATGGTGTCAAATGTACATTAATTATTATATATGTTTTTTAGTTATTTAGTTAATAAATTACAAACACGCTAAGAACTCAAACAGAAGACCACATTTGAAAATACTCCCCACATTTCTTCCTTTTGTCTCCTTTCCTTCATCTTGCCTTTTTTCCTTCTCTGTATCCAACTCTTTTCCAAACCCTTTCATCTCATCTCCTCACAGTTACTGTGCTAACTGGCAGCCACGGAGAGGTAGTGGCCAGTAACATCCTCAGTGTAGTCCTACATTAGTGGTTCTGCTTGTCTTTTTTAGTGGCCACACATTACTCCCATAAAACCACGCTGTCTCTGTCTCAGGAAGTAGGGATCTTGCACACAACACCTGAGCTTTTGACCTGGAGAAAATGCTGCTCTGCACAATTTTTAGTTCCCAACATAACATCTCCCACGCTGTCCCGTATGCATGGAGTGCCCTCCCTGGACTGATCCATAAAATCTTCTCCTTGACATCTCTCCTAAAGACCCACTTTCCCTAGATCCCTGTTAAGCAACCATCCAAGCACTGATGGCTAGGCAGAGGGGCAGGTAGAAGTAGTGGTGCTATTTGAAGAGCTTTTATCAATGTACATACGTGTATGCAGAATTTGTTTGTGTTGAGCTGTATTTTTCCATGCTCCTATACGTCATTTTGCTTTCCTAGATTGTGAGCTCTCCTGAGCAGGGACTGTGTCATCTCCACCTTCTCATGCCGTCTGGCCTGAGGAAGAGCCTCAAACCTGTCTGAGACCCTGGGTGGTAGCTGGAAAAACAGGCTGTGTCCTGCTCTTGGACAAAGCTCAGCGTCATGGAAAGGAAAGTTAGGCTGTAGGCAGTGTCTTCTCTCAACAGGGAAGCTTTTCCTTTATAACATTAAGTAGGACAAAATTGGTTTATTTTCCACTCTTTATTTTTCTGCTCTTTCCTGACCTCTTTTCAGGTCATTAAAACAGGTTCCACCTACTGATATTTGCCATTCTCCATTCAGAGAATAAACCACATGGCTACTGAAAAATACATTTTGGCAGCATATAAAAAAACTCTTTGCATTGTTATTGTAGAGTCTTCTGTCAACTCAAAATTCAGTTTTCTGGGTCAGAGGCAAGAGAGACATTAAGATAAAAATAATGGCTTCTGTGGTTCTGTTTGACTGGTTTTGTTGGTTGTCTCTGGAGATGGGTTCTGGTTCATTGGGAGGACAGGAGAGGAGAAGGACATAGGCTGTACTTTTTATATTCAGGATACGATAGTTGTGTCTAAAAAGATAGGTAATAAAATCTTTAGGTTTGGAGCAGCATGGCATGGGCAGTACTGTCATTTTAATGCAGTTACATAGCATGAATCACTAAAATTTAGCTGTGCTTCATTTGTGCCACTGACTTGTAGTAGTTGCCTGACTCAGGGATAGCTTCCAACTTTAAAATGTGTATGTGAAGGGGACATGTTTTCAACAGTCAAACTACCTTCTGGGTTTTGTGGGATATTTGGAATGGGGAGGAGGCATTCTTTTTTCATTTGTGATTTGTAGTTTTCCAAGAATTCTAAAGATTGTAAATTCCAAGAATGAGTAAGTCGTGGCAACATGTAAACTAACAGTTGTAGCAGCAATTTGTTGGAGGCAGCACTTAAAATGTAATTCCATTAATACTGAAGAATATCCAGAATATTCATGCAGCAAATTTAAATGAAGGTTTAAAAATACTCTGAAAATTAAACATTAAAAGGAAAACTTGGGGTCGTAATTTTCGTCATCACTGGAGAAAATAGATATCATTGTAGTTTCAAAATGGGTATCATTTGAGTTTCAAAATTAATGTTTTAAAATAAATTTAACTCTGTTCATAGAAAGTTTATGCAGCTGGTGAAAAGCTTGCCTTTAAAGGGCTTTTTTCTTCAGTTCTTGCTTTGACTTGTTTAATCAATAACTTCTTGTGGATGGAGAATTTTAAAATTATATGATCATTAAGGAACACATCCATAAACTAAGAGACCTGCAAATGTTTAGATACATTATTTAAACATTTCCTGCTCCTAAGCTTTTTCTTTTTTTCCTGACAGGAAATGGGTTTGATTTAGTGAATAATCTGGGATTTTCAGTGAAAACTGAAGTGTTTAATTTTAAAATGCCTAATATAAAGTTCTCTAAGAGAAAGTATAAAATTAAGACTAGAGCAGGCTAAATTTTTGTAGCAAAATGGGAATGGCAGGATAAATAATTCTTCACCATTAAGAGATATTCCACTGGTAGTGTCACATGAATCTCAGTTGTGGCTAGGGGTGGTGCTTGGTTTGTTCTTAGATTTGTTATGGTAATTAATATAAAATATTAATATATACCATACACTGATGAAATATGTGTGTTGATACTGGTCTTTGGGGTCTGTTATGGGCTACAGTATCAAATATAAATATAGGATTTTCCTCCTCTGAAGAGTTTAGAGTCTATCACCACCTTACAGATACAGAATAACTGTGATATCATCAATACAGAATATTGTTAGCTGGCATCAAGTCTTTACTGGAATTTGAATAGAAAAATATTAGTTGATGGCATTCAAAAGAAATATTATTAGCTCTGTCTGCAGTAAGTGTCCACACTTCATCCCATTCCTGTTGTCCATTGTTTCAAAGGAGGCACATTCCAATGGCATCTGAAACAATGAAATTGCAGAGCAAATATATATAAATGAATGCCAAACAGTGGATTAGCTTACAGTGTTCTGTTATGTTTGAAGAAACCACTCCCAAAGTCGTCTGGTTCAAAAATCATTTCTTTAATTCACTGTGGTGGAGTTGATGATGGAGATTTGTCTGCAGGAAAACAATGGGAATACCACCAAAGGAACTTTTACAGCACTCACAGCCTCAACTCCTGTGGTAGTTTCCAGCATCTGCAGTGCTTCTCTGTAGGAAGAAGGTTTTCTGACCTCCACCAGACACTGTTTTAGAAGATGAGAGCAAAAGGCATCAGGCTTAATGAAGAATTCTTGAAGGTTGCCCGTGTAAGTAATTGATTTGTGTTACGTATTTGAAATTGTAATAAGACAGCGATGTAGTGATGAGGGAAAGGTTGTCATCGGGTTGTCATTTATCACAAGTAGAAAGCAGTGACTCTGGGTGGAATTTGTGTATACCAGCCCTTTTTTTTGCTGATGTAGTGAGATTTTACAACTTGGAGTGTAACTTATGGGGAGTCCACAGGAAGAAGGTGTAGGATTAGGGCCGTGGCTACAACATGAGTACTGGTAAAACACTTCGTAAGAGAAAAGTATTGAAAATTGGCAAGTTTCAAAAAGGGAACAGTGCTAACCCTATGTTTTCCACCAGCAAAAGTTTGGCACTTGACTGGCAATGTGCTGATTAACAACTTGTGCCACAGAATCTAAAATTAACAGGTAACTCTTGGAACTAAAAACTTCTTCAAACCAGGGTTTATGTTGCAGGAGGTGGGCAGCTTTAACTAATATTTTGGAAGCTCTGGGAATCCTGAGAGGGTTGGTTGAATCCCTGTGGGGGTGTTCTCATGTACACTAGTATTATTTTGAATTTATCAGCTTATTCTGGAGTGTGTAGCGCTCTTTCATGATACTTGTTTTTCTTTACTACAGGACAGTAATTGAAAAGGTTTTCAAAATCTTTCTGCATCAGCCAAACAAGACAATGGTATAAAAGAAGTTGGAAAAGGAATTGTAAGTGTTACAGAAAATGTGGGGTTTGTAGCATTTGGAAAGAGACGAATTAAATATGTTGGCTTATGTGAGTGTTGCTATGCTCAGATATTATCAATTTAATATCTGAGCACATATTCAAAATCATGAAGGCTCAAGGAGAAGTTAAAATTGCATGCGTTTCCCAACATGGCACAGTTAGGGTAGTGAAAAACTCCTTCAACACTTTTAATGTGTTCTCTCTTTTTTTCAGGAGCCAGGGAGATGAAGGACTTATCTTCCTCATCTCAAAACTCCCTTTGCTGCTATTACATTTTTTTTTGCCTTCAAATGTTCATATACCCATGTTAATTAATTTCTAATATAATTAAAAATAAATGGTTTTAGATAATTCCTCATAGTTCGTTTGGTTTTTCCCCTCGGTGTGGAAGTGTGAGAGTAAGTGTAAGACCAGAGAAGGCTGCAAGTGTCTTAAGTCCTCCACTTTCTTTTTGGTTTCTTTCAGTTGGTTGTCCTTCTTTTGTGACTAGGCAAAATTTTCAAATGCTGTCTCTTAAACAGAACATCAAATTGCCGCTTAAATTCCACCTGGCTTGCAGGATAGGAGTGGGTATTGACTATATTCTCTGCTTTGTTTTTGTTCTTGAACAGAAACCACTGTTAGACAATGACCATTCCTCTTTCAAGGTAGGCTGAATTGTAAGGCTTCAGGATTGCAGGTGTATTTTAAATGCCTGTATAATTATTTCATGAATTGATTATACTGTTAAAGAGCTGGTACTTGAAAATTGTATCTCTGAAAGAATTTGAACATATCAGTTTTCTGCCTTCCTTAAAGTTACTTTTCATGGTGTGATTATAATGTGTAAATGTGACTTGTGTGTACTAATGTGAAGCAATTTTCAGCCCTAGAAACACAAATAAGACTTTCTTTCAAGAAAGTTTTGATAGTTCTTTACTTTGATACATACAAATCATTTCCATAAATCACGTAATGGTATTTACTCAATGTTAAATGGTTAATTTTAGTCACTAAACAATTTTTATGTTTTACTGATTTATTTTCTATATTTTCCCTTTTTTTATTTTATTTTAGTGTTTTGTAGAGTTTACAGTATCCCAGAGAACAGACAAGTATTTTTACTTAATTTTCATAGAAGGAAAGTTTTTCAAGTGCCTTATATGTTTGACTGTATTGCAAAGCACTTCTGTTATTTCCTCATCAAGCTGACTGCTAAAGTAATATTCTCTGCCTGTTGTTCACAGTGTGGTAAATGTGTGATTTTTGGCATTATGATTTAAGCACAATCCTGCAAATTGTTCCTCTGAGGTGGGGCTGGAAGAAGTTCATTCCAGGTTAAAATGTGGTGGCAAATTTATGAGTATTAGGAGTAACCTAATTGTCTACATGAAAACTCAGACCATTCCATTTCTGTGTACTTTTAACTATACATTTATATGACATAACTGTAGGCTGAACTTGTTGTTTCTTTTCTCTGAATATGATCATAAACAACAAATTTGGATTTCAACCTTAACCTTTAATATTCTTACTCTGAATCAACGCTTTAGCTAAGCTTAATCTTTAAATACTTAGTGGTGTGTTGAAAGCCTCATTATACTTAACCTACTTCTGGTCTTTGATGAATTTTTATACATCTAATCCTATTTTAATAGATCAAAAGAAAGCCATTCATTTTCAGTGGGCACAGCTGATGTATCAGAGATCCAATTTTAACCATCTCCAAATAGGAGTCACCTGTTTTTCCTCAGGAACACTGAAGTTTTACTCATCAGGTGCAGTTGCTTCTATGACAAGCAACATCATCAAAAGATCTTCTATAGTCTGACCAAGCTTTCTTTGGAAATCATTAGGTTCTCATCTTTTGCTGCCACCCCATTAATATTGGAAAGCTGGTCTATCTGCTTCTTTGAAAGCCTAGTCCGCATTCCCAGACCTTTCACCCAAATTGTCCTTTACATAGTTCTCCCACCCACAGACATTCACCCCCAAGTATTTAAAGTTACTTCCCAGCTATTGTTTTACAAACTAAGCAGGGCAAGCTCTTTTGCATATATATGGGGAGTGAAAAAAACCTAGAAGGAATGCAGTGTAAATAATTGCACCTGCTTGTTTTAGATGCTGCTTTTTTTTTTCAGACTTGGAAACTTAATTACATGTGTAATCACTGCTGGTTTTCATACCAAAATCAAACTGCTTGTAGTTAAAAATAGAAGAAATTGGGAAAAAAAGTTAATCCATAAGATAAAAGCAACACCACAGCCATATTTTTATGCAGTTTAAATGAATCTCTATCCATTTTTAATAGGCACATGCGAAGGCTACCCTTTTAGTAACTCATTTTTGCAGATTGTGGACAAATTTTATCAGCTGATGAAAGATATTAAACTAAACCTGCAAACTCATATTTAGGGAAGGCGATGGAACAAAACGTGCATGTGCAGTACCTGACATTAAGGGCCATATACCCAAAGCTGTTGACACCAAGGAAGAATGAATGTCCTGTGTTCCCATCACTTTTCAAAAGGAAAAAAATGCATGTGCCAAATATTTGCCTGTGGTTGACTGCAGATGCTAGACCAGGTGGGTGATACTACAGCACGGAGGTGCAATTGGCATTGTATGAAGTTTTGAATAAAGCACCTGGTACAGTTTCTGTCTGTATCTATCTTAGGTATTTACAAGGCACCTATCACCTTGGTACCTAAGCACTTTGAAAAATGCACCCACCCCAGGAGGCATGATGCAGATACAGACAGAGGCCCAGGTCCAGAGCAGCAGAGGCAGGTCCCAGGAAGCTCTCCAACTGTGTTCCCGCTGTTGTTGAGCTCCTGGCCCACTTGGTGTGGCCAAGGAACATCTCCACCCACCTGTCAGCAGGAAGACGATGCCCCACCCCTCACGTGCAGCTCCGCTGGTGGGCAATCTGAAAAGGAAAGATAATGGAAAAGGCAACGATCCAGTAGCAGAGGTGAAACAGGAATGGTGGGATTTCAAAAGGAGGGCTTCTTAAAGAGCAGCACATCTCAGGGGAGGGATCAGCTGCCAGTTCAAGTGGCAGGTAAGGCATAACACAGGCATAAGTCCCAAATGTTCTTCAGTGAACAAAAGTTAAAGAAATACTTCTGATGTCTCTAAAGTTTGTATATATCCAAAGCCCTGCTCTGTTCTTGGCCTCTGACTCAGTCCTCTACCCCTGCAGATGAATCAAATGTTCAGTTCTGTGTACCTCCACCCAACAATTGCTGCAATCCTAAATATGTCTAATAACCAACATAAAGGACTCTCACTGGTAATGAATGTTGTGGTACAAAGGAGACAGCATGGTATAGCAGTGCTCCAAAATAATGGACGTATTCATGAACCTAAAGGCTGGAATAAACTTGGCTTCTAGTCACCATATTCAGGGCAGGATCGGGCAGACACAGCTCACCCCTGCAGGCACACATGGAGCTTCTCCTGTGGCCTCCAGGAGCAGTTGCTGATCCACCACATCAGACCAAGCTGTGTATCAGCCCAGGGCAAACACCTGGATAGGGAGCAGCTCCAGGCTCTGCTGCAGAAACAGAGAACCTGTCTGCCAGGGCAGAAAGGAAGATAGCCAGGACTGTGATGGAGGTTCACTAGTTGCTCTTACAGGGACCACTTTAATACCAGACCTTTTTCTTTAAACACAACAGAATCAGTGAGGTAAAACAAAAAAGTCTTCAGAAACCTGTGAGTCCCATGGGACTTTAGGAAATAGCTGCATAGTAGTCACAGTGATCAACTACTAAAGTTAAAGTTCAGTGGGGTCACTGACTTCCAGAATTTCCATTCCCTTTAGCCCATATGAATTACCCCTTCTGAGTCCATTACTTGGTCATTTAAGGATCAAAATGGGAGTCATGCCCTGGCAGAGCAACGGACATAAAGTTAGGAACATGAACCTTGGAGACTGCCAGTTTGGTGGCTGCTATCACTAGATATAAACGTAAGTGGCCTATTTTGCCTGGATATATCCCTGTGAGCAAAATGTTGCACGTAGGAATGGTGTGGAAATGACTAAAAAGGTCACAGAATCTGACTTCTTCCTTTTGCTTCACACCCAAGGAAGCTGAGCTTCTTTGTACCCACTCTATTTTAAGCTTTGAAAAGAGAAATATTTTTTTAGAGCAAATTAACAAGCAAGTAAGATCAACAGTGGTGGTGTACAGTTTGATCCATGTTCTCATGGACAATTTTGACTTGACAATTGTAGTACCCTGTCTCTCTTTTTTTTGGAAGTCATCCCTTTTCCAAGGAAAGGAGGTAAAGGCAGTTAGTTGAGGTCACTCTATCAGTCAGCTTCAATCCTTCTGTCAGCAACTGTTCAAACATAGGACAATTTCTGGCTGAACCAAATTTTCCAATGCCCCTGGCACACCTTTTCCACAGCATCAACCTAGGCACTGGTGCAACCGTCTGACCAAGATGCACCCTGAACTTCAGGCAATTTTTGGTCATCAAGGAATGGATTTCTTGGGCAGAGACAGACACATACATCAAGGTGGTGTCAGCCATTGACCTTCTGGCAGTTTTCCCAAGTTTAACTAGAGGCCATACCTGCAGTGCACCCTTAGTTCCTTGTGCCCCATGTCAATGCTTCACAAAGCTTCCAGAACCCACAGTTACTAAGAAGTGTTGAACACCTTGTTACAAGCAATAACAGTTATGATTATTCCTCCTTTTCATTGCTAGCCAAGTTTACCAACCTAACCTAAAACCTGTGAATGTATTCATTATTCAGAAGTATTCGCCAAGAGTTTCCACAATTAACTTTATGCCCAGGGGTTTTCACAGACTCTTTGCTTGTGCCCTTTGTCATTTGTGTTATTGGTCACCCATGCCAGATGCTGTTCTTTCAGCTTGGAAAGGCTGAAGATACTGAACAGGAGGGTAACAAGTGATAAATTTTCATAGAGAATAAAGAATTTTGCAAAAATTTACTTTATTATGCTTTTTCAGGGATTTTTTTCTTCACAAGCCTCTGGCAAGTGTGTGAACATGCACAAATAACAAAAGTTTTGTGATCCCTCTGAATCTGAACAAACTAAAGTCAGTGATACCATTTACAGAAATATTCATAAATCAGTGTGGACTTTGGAGTTTTTTGATTTTGTTTTGCTTCAGTTTTTGACTTTTAGTTTAGTTTGGTTCTGTTGCTTGCCAGTTGTTAGGTGGGCTCTGCTTAGAACACTTGTCAGGTAAATAGAGTTTTCAAATATGGGGAATTTTCTGATGACATGTCAAAAGAAATACCGAGACATTTTGTATGACCAGTGGCTCTACCAGAATGAGTATATATGATCCCTTATCTCCCACTGATTCCATAGACTTTAACTGAAATGTGTGTTTGCTATGTGTGGTAAAAATAGGTCCCCTGCTTTTTTTGTGCTTTTTTTCATGTGTATTCAAATAGGAAAATGCAGAGATATAATGCATGGTCCTACACTATAGTTGTAAAGAGAGATTTGTTAATGAAGGAATGCCTATGGCTGTATTAGACAAAGTGAGAGAGGAATTGCAAAGGAAGAAGCAGTTATTAGTTAGGTTGATATATAGTCACTTTCAAATCTCCATGGAGTGGAAGAGCCAATGATTGCATGATAGTTTGTCCCTAAAATTCATTTTCATAAGGAGCTCATGCCTTTTTACAAATACAGTCTCATCCTCACTTTCCATAAAACATGCAACTGGACAGTCCAGCCAGAGGGAATATGAATACTTTGAATGTGAATACTTTGAAGTAGTGAATATGCTAAATGCACAAATAATATCCATTATTTCAGCACTTAAAACTCATCTTTCTATTAAGTCACACAGAATCTCTTTTAGACCAGTATAATATTGGAGGCACTTGGGTGCAGAAATAATGAGTACCACATTATGGTAGACAGGGAGGAGGGATCCTTGGGTCTGTGAGAAGGAGCTTTCATTTTAAACCATATAAAATAATTTTTAAAAAATTGATCAAAACCCCTACCGACTCATAAACAGAACCAAAATTATCATTTAATATGATCTCAGCAACACCTTGCAGATGTAAGCTTACAGCTTCTGTCGAGGTCTGAAGAGCAGCATACAGAGTATTTAAAAAAGTAGAAATTAATCCTTGAAAAATAACTTTTTTTGAGACTGGGATGCCAGAGAATAGGCATGACACTGAGCTGGCATCCAGACCACTGTAGTGTAAGCAGCACAGCCAGCAACGGTGAGCCACTGCTGCTCAGGACACAATCCTACTGACAACTGCACTTCTGTCACCTATCCCTTACCTAAGCCTTGGGAATGCAGGGGTTTGGGCTACCCTACCACAACATTTTAGCCAGACTGCCCCAGATTAATTTCTGATGGCCAAATTGTCCCCCATCAAAAAAAAAAAAAAAAAAAAAAAAAGCAGACCCATTTTTTTAATCTGAAGCATGGAAAGGGTGAGAGCTGTGGCCACAGTCTCATGTAATCAAGAATAGAGCTGGGCAGATGGTGCTCTACTGTGAGCCAGTGATGGCTGCAGGTGCAAACAGCTGAGCCATTCCTCACCTTTGGGGAGGGCATTTTATACAGGGGAGGATTTAGAGTAAGCACCTAGATAGCATCCTCCACCTTAAGGTCTGTAGCAATGCCTCTTTGCACACTGAGCTGCCACAGGGAAGCACTTGCACCCAGGTTTCCACCACGTGCCCTCAGGCAAGGGAAGAGGTAGCCAGGGGAGGGCAAAACGCAGTTCATTTCCAGGAGATGATGAGATCCCGGTGAGCAATGCCCTCAGATAGCGTTTCTGACTGTTTGGAGGAAAAGAGCAAGGAGAATCCTGCAGATGTTGGGGAGGGCATTGCTCGCGGGATAAACCCCGTGGACAGGCACCGTCGCGCTGCAGCAGTGACTTGGGAGAGAGCCCACTGGGGGTGGGGGTGACGTGAGACGGCGGACAAAAGTGAAGATAGCCAGCAGTGCCTCAGAGCAACAAAGGGCTGCCCTCAGCCAGTGGTGGAGCACATCTGGCACCCCAGGAAGCTCAATTGGACCCTTGGCCCTGAGCTCGTCCCAGGGATTTCTGACTGGCACCACTGCAGTGCATAGGTGAGCTTTTCGCTAGGTTCACTGACATTTCCTGTCACAGTCATGCTGAGGGGAATTGGTAGTTCCTGCCTTGGGATGCAGCACGGCTGTGTGTGTTCTGGGTACAGGACAGTGTGCATTGGTACTAAAAGTGGTTAATAACTTCAACTGCCACATGCCCAGTGCAGTCACTAAAATTTAGTCCGCCCTTCTGCTTGCCCAAACACATACACTCTTGGCTTCCCAACTGGCTTCTTTCTATGTGTTGTCCAATGCATGTAGATACCTCCATCTGCCTGGCCTCAGATACAGTGGTTGTTGCTCCTCTATTTGATTGCCAGATGTCACTGGGGAGCAAGATGGGGAGGTTCCTGGATCCTCGGGGCAAGCCAGCCATCACAGAGGGAGCTTGCTGTCCACGCCGGCCGAAGAACAGGAATCCTCGGTGCCTGCCTCTGATGAAGACTCACCAGCCAGGACCACAGAGAGCTGGCAGTGGCCACTGTCCTCGTCTGAAACGCACAGCAACGTTGGGGAGGATTTTGAGGGATTTCAGACGCCAGCGCGGACTCCGGAGTGTACCATGGACATACAGTCTCCCGGGGATCAGTCACTCAGTAGAACTCCTCAGTTTGAAAGTGACTCTCCTGAGGAGGAGGGAAATGATGAAATGAATGAAGAGCGCTGCGGTGTTGAGCCTGTCCCTAGGGATCGGGGTTGGAGAGGGCAGCCCCAGCTAACAGAGGGAGAGAAGCTGTTGATGGAAACCAACAGTAGGATTGTGCAGCTGCTGGAAAATATCAAGAGGGAGCATGCACAGTCCATGGGCCTCATGTCCCAGTCCATGGGCCGCATGGAGCTGCAGCTGGGCATTGTGGCTACCTCCACAAGAGCCATCCATAACTACCTGTCAGAGATTTTAGCTTTTCTCAAGCAGCCAAGGACGCAGGTCCTTGAAACGCGCATTTCCCAAAGAGCCACCCCCCATGTCGAGTTGACCTGTGCCTCGACATGGACCGGGGAGGACGCAGTGGCATCCTCCACTGTGTGCTTACCTGGGGCCGAGGGGACAGGCGACTCTCGAGACCCACCACAGGCCACCCTGCCTTGTCGCAGTGGCCGGCTGCAGAGAGCCATAACCGAGAGGGCCTCGCTGCCCATGCCTCCACGCCAGGCAAAAGGGGGAGGGAAGAAAAAATAACCATTCCATAAGGTTTTTAGAGGTTTTTTTTTTATGTGCCTGTCCTTTTAATTCTTAGCCATAAAGCCACTGGTGGCAGAGTTTCAACCATTTCCTACATTGGCTAACATTGTATTCTGGCTGACTAGATTAGTCTAACATTTTGTAGTTTATATTTGCACTGTTAACTATGTGTGCTGCTGGTATTTGAAGAACATTTACCTCTGTTCTTTCACTTCAACTTCATACGAGCATTTTTTTACTCTGTGCCAGGCATTCATTGCTTTTCTTACAAATACAAGTCATTTCTTGAGGCAGCTGTTTTTTGAGTTTTCTTTCTCCATTATCCCATCCCCTCTGAGCAAGCACTCGGGACTTGGTGGTAAGTATAGAGGTCTTCGCAATACTCGCCTCCAAAACTGTGTTCGATCAGTCTTTGCCTGGTGTTTCTGGCATGCCAGCCTGAGGTGTTGGGGTCAGCCTGTACCGGATCATGATCATTCTTATCCTCTGTGGGTCTGACCAGCTCAGTTTCTAAGACCCTCGGTGGAGCTAATCCACGTGTCTTGGCTATGTCGTACAATAAGTAATGTTGCCAGGATCATACCTCATATTTCTCCTTTGGGGGCTGTATAGTGATGTGCCACCAGATCTATCTAGGCACCTGGCTCTCGTTTTCAAAGTTCCTTTCATGATGGATCTGGTGGCTTGATGGGCAGCATTATAATTTTTCCTCTGAGAGAGTCTGGGGATTGGAAACAGGAGTCACTAAGCAATGTGTTCTACGGGGATAAGAGCCATCTCCTGCAACAAATCTATTAGGAGGAGACTGTCCCCTGTAATTAGCAGAGATATTAATTATTTAAGAAAAAGAGAAAAAAAAAGAAAAAAAGCAACTTGCCTGGCAGCCAGACCTCTTGAGAATGTAAAAGTCATGACATGCTGTTGGGTACTGTGCTCCTCTGTCTGTGATTAAGAGCTTCTCATCAGAGACGACCTACATCTTGATAAAACACAACTACTTCCTGTGCCTTTAGGCCATCTAATTTTCTGAGGGCTGGCACCCTGAGCAGAGCACGGGGCCCATTGGTAACCCACAGGGTAGATGGAAACGCACTTTGCAATAAATTATTTTATATCTGTTGGTGCTGCCTCTCTCGGGGGAATTTAAATTAGTGGCACTCAAACTGCTATATGCATGCAGAGGCATCAGACTTGGCTTTTCCATGTGGTATCCCTGACAGTTCTCTGAAAGGATGCTGTTGCCAGGAGCCCCCTGAGCGGTGGTGACCTGTTCTCACAGGTGTAGCATGGCTCCTATGTTTGACTCTCAACACACCGTTGTAACTTCTCGGGAACGTTCAGAAGAGTTTATATGGCAAAGCAGTGATGAATGAAAAATACTAGAGAACAACCATAGGCTTAAAAATCCTCTTCTATGATTACAACCGAGCTGTGCTCTCTGTCCAGTGAGACATAGACTCTTCCTCCCTGTCTTTCTGTGAGGTTATTCAAGATAAAGCAGATCATATTTTGTTATTCTGCCAGTCAGCCACAAATTGCTCCCGTATAAGTGTGTGTGCGTGTGTGCTTGTGGCTGTACTTTGCTAAATGACCGATTTAAGGATGAAATTGCATCTGGCATGGCCAACCTCCAGTGTAGGCTTTTTCCACTACCAAATATTTCTTCCCTTTCACCTCCATCCAGATGAGTTCCTTGTAAAAATGCCATTGGAGGTGGGCTTCTTTGGCCACACTTCACACCAGGTGCCAATTTTTGCATCTATTTTGTGGCTTTTTTTTTTTTATATCTCTTTTGTCAGAACTATTTGTAAAGTTATCCTCAGACACTTTCCAGCACAAGCTTGTAAGCTTTTCCCTCTCACTGGTGCAAGAAATGCATGCTGCAGAGTATTTGAGGTCACAAGAAGGTTGGGAGAGAAGCTAATTAGTAAGCCTGGCAAATTATTCCAGTACGTGTGGCCTTCTGAACAAACTGGTTCTGGTGCATAAGTGGTTTGCACACTGGTGCTGTGGATGTGAACAGCCCAGTTCAAAGCACAGGGTTTGTCCCAAAATGTTTACATCTTCTTTCTTTGGGATGAGTTTGAGTGAAGCTAAGTACAATTCAACCAGACAATTTGGCCTAATTAGCACGTTTGATAATGCAGTGAGAATGTTTTTTATTTTGCACAGTGCTTTCACTTCAGAAGGGTGGTGCAGTTGTGGCCAGATGTTAAGAATTTGACTTGCTCTTCAGGACCCGCCATGTAGCTGCTACCATTTAGAACCAGTCTCGTTCTCACGTGCTGGCTACTTCCATGGCTTCAAATTTTTTTGTTGTAGTCTCAAAACAACAACCTCCACTCCACCTTTGCTTCCTGACTAAAGGCAGCAGAGCAAAAAGAAGATGTAGCAGTGCTGCAGTTGAAAGTACCATGCAAGGAAGCACTAAAGAGTTCCTTGCAAAGCAACTTAAGCTTTAACCTGCTCTCCTCTTCCATTTCCAAGTGCTTTAGCTAGACATGGCAAGGCACAAAGCACCACTCCAACAGGAGCAGCCATAGGTGTGAGAAGGACTGGGAACCTGTCTACAGACAAGAAACCTGCAATAAACTTACACAAAGCCAAAGTTTTTTTCCACCTGGAAGTAGTAGATGGTATTAAGAATTGGTGCCAACTGATATTTTGCTCAGATCCAACATTAGGATCTGACTTGTAGTATTGTCTAGCAAAATCAGTGCAGTTGGAGGGTATGTATGTTCCATCCCCAACAAATATTTTCATGCTTTTCAAGTGTCTGTCATGGCCTCATCACTCTTTCCCTGTAGCTTTTTGTTGTCTGAATGGGTATATGGTTACATGTGTCTGTTAAAAATAAAGGGGATCAGTTCTTACATGGTATATTTATATTTCTTATGTACAGATTTCGAGTACGTAGTGCTTCAGTTTCCAAAACTTACTTCTTTCTGTGTCCAAAAGGCTAGTTGTTTGGCTTCTGGAATGATAACAAGGGTGGGAGAGCCTTAACAGGAAATCTCTGCCCAGTTGAAGCTCTTGGTGATAGATCCCCTGCAGTCTGGCCATATTTTTGATGTATAGGTCAAATATTCATGGTTACACCGTTGCTTTCTGATGCCTTTTGCTGAGCAGAAGTGCAGATATTTTTCTTTCAGAAGTTCACAGTTTGTATAGCAAAGTCATTATGAAATGTGACGTTTGTTTTATTTTTGAATACGTGTGATGATTTTAAGAATTTTTTCCTTTTCTCCTTCCACTGGATGATTTAAATCTCACAAAAAAAATAAAGCAGACCAATGAAAAGAATTGAATGCTAACTTCAATTGAAAAGAAATAGCAACACCACTCTTGTGAGACAGTTTTCAGCAGTATTCAGCTTGCTGGTCCTGCTCAGCCTTTCCTTTCCTGCCTGCTCCCTGCCCCTCTGTGACACTGAAATATCCACTTCTAGGACAACCTTCTTCCTAACCCAAAGGCTAAAAGTTTTTCCCTCTCTTTTTCTCCCATTTAAAATACCATCCTTGCATCAGCCAGATCTACTGTTTAGAGGGATCAAAAGCTCTTTTCCTCCTGCCTTATTCCCATCCATATCAATATCCAGGGCCCTGAGTGCGCTGCTCTCCTGTGAGAGGTAAAACTTAAATCCCTAAATCCAATACTTGACATAGTAACACTGCCAAAAAAAATGGTGTTGTTTTTTTTTTTTTAATCTATAGTACCCTAATGAAGTAGCTACCCTTGTTTGCTGAAGCAAATAATCAATTCTTTGGGAGATGGATTTAATTGCTGAAAAGTAACATTGCTCTAACTCGCGTTGTGGAAGCCCAGGAGACAGGCTAAGGTATTCCACTCACATAAACACCACAGGTTATGTAACTAATCCTTACTTCGGTGAAACTTCAAAGGAAAAGACACTAAATTAACATGCTACAGGGAAGCAAATGCCATGGAAGGTGTAGCAAGGAAACCTGTTGGTATGATTCAATTTTGGATTCTAGCACAGATTCAAAACTCAAACTATTCTGGTGGCTTAGGCTACTTGTTTAATTTCTCCATGCCTTGGTTTCACAGCAGTAGAAGGGGCAAAAAAAGGAACTGTCAGGCAATAATTAGTTGATTATATGGTACTTCGAGGTCTTCAGTCTGAGGGAGTAACCTAATGTATTAAGTGCTAATGGAGCTTGTTCATGACCAAAGTTGGAGACCAGCACTCAGCTTTGGAACATTATGAATAAAGTTCTCCCCATATTTTACCATCATGTCATATGGTAGATCAGAATCCCAAATCCAAATGTTGAAGCTCTCATTCAGACTTGGACTTTGCCTATTTGGTCTATTTCTGACCACAACTAAATACATTCTCAAGCCATCCAGTTATTAAAATAAAAAAAAAACACATATAAAAGTTTCATTTAAACAAATAATGCAGTTAGTAATGCTGGTCTACGAGTCTAAGAGTGTGAATAAATTAGAACGTTATTACTTGAGGAGAATAGGTATAAAAGAGCACTTCTGGAGTACTTGTTATTGTCCAAAATATCACTGAAATTCTGATGACTAAGTACAGTCTGCTTATCTCTATTTGAAACAGTGCTGTACAGATTCATTATTTCTAAAGGTCTTCTTTCCATTTCTATATAGATATTCTCCCTTCACATTTTGAAGGTTTGAAGAAGAGGATTGTTTTTCGAGTCACACTAAGTAAACATTAAATGCATGCAGGCTTAAAACTAAAGCATGCATGTTATGTAGCAGCAATAAAAAGTGCTCGGCTTGCACGACTTATGATGCTCAAGCGTTGCCTTGTTAAAATGCCAAAAAAATTTTTCTTTGCATTTTTTTGAAACGTAAATCTCTTCCTTTGACCCTGCAATACTTTTCAGTTTCTTTGGACGAATGATATTTATTTTACTGAACACTTTTATATTACAGATAAGGTGGATGAAATAGTACCAGTTTCCAAGCCATCAAGAATTGCAGACAATGCAGCTGTGGACTCAAGAGTGGCAACGATAAAACAGAGGCCTTCTAGTAGATGTTTTCCCTCAGCTACAGATATGAATGTGAGTGGGAGCTATGAAGTGCTGCTTTCATTTCTGGAACTGTTTGGAGGGGGTCTTTTGGTTTTAGATATTTATTTTACTTTTTTTGTCTTGTAACTTTTAAGGCATGGTCTACGCTGCATTTCTAGTAATAGTTTTGGGACAGAACAGTCTACATACCCCTATAAAACCTTTCTCATTATGTCCTCATATTTATTCTGAGACTGTCACACCAACAGCATTGCTTCCT